GGGGGGGGGGGGGGGGGGGGGGGGGGGGGGGGGGGGGGGGGGGGGCATCCTTACGACGGATCGGTAATGATCCTGCCCACGGACTGATACTACATGGAATTAGAGAGGCGGCTGAAAAACTCACCTACAGTATCTACCTCCCGTCCCGTTCTCGTAGCGTTGGCATAGCGAAGGGACGGATGTGTCTGGGGCTTGTGTCCAGTAGCGTGCATCGCTTGAAGCGTACGGATCGTGAGGGTAAATGCGACAAGCATGCATAGGATTGATTCCTCAGCTGCATATGGCACCAGTCAGACTGAACTCAAAGCCAGTGTGTCATGATCTTTCATTCCCGTCACGAATTATGGCCAAACGACTTGTATGGACCCTGAATGTAATACCAGGCAGCGTTCATTCCCCTCAGCCCCCCCCCCCCCCCNCCCCCCCCCCCCCCCCCCCTCCCCCAATGGCGTCCGCTATGACGCATCACAGCGATCAATTTATACGCCGTCTTTCTCCGGTCCCCCCCAACCCCGCTCTCCAAGAGAAAGCCACAGACTTCTCCACGTTGGTTGTGGAACCAGCGAGGTGGGCCCCAAGCTAGCGGAGGAACCAGCCTTGTCGTCGCTTCACGTGACGGATATCGACTCCAGCCCCACCGCCGTGAGGCTAATGCAGAAGCGCCACGCGGCTCTCGGCAACTACGACTGTCGCGAGGGGGATGTTCTCAACCTTGATTTTCCGGCCGACCGCTTCGATGCGGTCGTGGACAAGGGGACGCTGGACGCCCTCCTGTGTCGAAGCGCTGAGGACGCCCTAGCTATGGTGTCTGAGGTGCATCGGGTTCTCCGCAAGGGAGGCGTGTACGTCCAGATTTCAGCGGAGGACCCCGAGATGCGCTTGGAACTGCTCACGGAATGCGGCAGCAGCTCATGCCGTGGGCCGTGGTCTCGCTCTATCTTCAAGGAGCTCGGAGAGAGTGAGGGATCGGCGGCGTACTATATGTACGTCCTCGTCAAATAGTGTAGTTAATTCGGATGTGTGTTGTGGTCCGATGTATAGGGGAAGGGCTCAGGACATCCGACGAAGCACGTTCCGTGTATGTATGTACTGCTGGCTGTGATTCTCCGTTTGTTTCCTTACGGGTGAGGCGTGTGCGGCCCCTTGAGCGTTGTTTGCCCTTGACGGCCCAATTTAGCATATTGTCCTGATTGGTGTGTCGGATAATGATGATATTGTTTTGGTGCAGCCAGTATGCGGGGCTGCTACATTACTCACATATGTATGTCAAAAAAATCTTCTTCGGTATTCGTGCGCTTGCTTCCTGTTGGTTTATCCTCGGCTTGGAGTGTCAATTGATCGTTGATTTCAACACCCCCTTCAGACATTTCCCGTAGAACGTGTAGACTGTTGTTGTTGCTCGAGGTGTGGACGCCTGAGGTTTGATGTTTGTGCGACGTCTCTTCGGAGCATCTCTCTTTCCGGGGTGGTTCCACTTCTTCTGTCATGGGTACTGTGAGGGGTTGGGTGGGTGGGTGGGCAGACTTACTGCTTCCTTTTTCCTCCGTATTTTCTCGCTTCTCGAAGGCAATGGAGACGATGATAGCAATGACAGAAGTTGCCCGCAGTTTCCGATCGGCCCAATCTGTTCAAGGGTATTTCCGGGTGACAGAAAATCCCTGATATTCGCTGCTGTTGTTGCCATAGTCACCGGCGGTGGGTAATACTTCAAAGCATTACGTGTTACAGTGGTACCATTGTACCATTCGCATTACCATGCGACGCTTGGAACAGGGGCGGGGTTCGCAGACCCCTAAAACCTGGCCAAACTTCTCCAGTTGCATGCTTTATCCAACACGTGTGCTTGTACTTCAAACGAAATACCCTTGGAACTGAAGAAAAAAAAAGTCTATTCACATCTATATAATAGTCTACTGCATGCAACCTGCCTGAGGTTGTACTCCCCGGCTGGGCTGAGGCATGCCCCGTCCGGCGGCTTGAAGCGCTTCACGTCCCTGAGCATCTGCGTGGGGCTCGAGACTATCTTGACGGTTAGCTCGGAGGGGTGCATCTTCGGGTGGAAGCCTTCCCCCAGTTCTGCGATGATTCGCTCCGACAGCGGTCTGCGTCGACGCGTCGAAGACAAAATATTGGTATATATTTTGTTCGAGCAGGAGACCTTATGTGTACTGTAGACTAGTCTACTGCTAGAGATATGAACGCCGTGTGTGGTGATGGTGTGAGTGTGTTAGGCCCATTTTTTCTGGCGCCAGCCTACACACAATTGACGTATCAGCCCGTGGCCGGACATCGTAATGAATGGTGCCTGGCGTCCCTGCTATGTAGGGCAGCAAGCTACTACGGCAGTGGTATTAAGTAGAACAACATATATATGCATACATACTGTAGGAGCAGTCTTTTTGCTTATACAATTGTCACAACACATGTATCCCTCTCGTATTCCTCTCAACGACCGGATGGGGGCCGGTGGAAGAGAGCAGAGAGCGGAGGGCGAGAGCACATTCAACTGAACAATATACGACACCCCATCCCCGGAAAACGAACACATGAAAACGCCGTCCGAACTTTTCTCTCTACAAACCCACAATAGAGAAAAGGCCGCACGAGGGCAAGAACGGTACACCGAGCACCGGCCACCCAGACCATTACACCATACAGCTCATCTCGTGTGTGACTTGCGGACACCATGCGTCGACAAAAACTGGTGAGTAGCACCAACCTTCCGTCTGTGGGTGGGCTTTGAACCGTTTCCGTTGTTGATTGGCTGATTGAGTTTCAAGGCTGTAGCTGGTGGGATGTTGACAGCAACAGCAGTAGTAGCATTGTCTGAAGGTGCTGCTGCTGGTGCACGATGCGCTCGAACGCAGACTCATGGAATACATGAGCGTCATGACGAAGTTCAACCCCATGTATGCCATTGTGGTTTAGGTTCCCGACGGTATAGCTTTTCGTCAAGACGAGATTCCTACGGCAGTAATTAGTACACTTTATGTATCTGCTGCTGCGTAGACGTTTTGGGTGGATTTTCAAATTTGAAATTGGTGTCACTCGTGTCAACCCAGGACCACGCCGAGAGACTCACAGCAGTAAATATGACTACAGCAGTACATCATTGTAAATTTCCATGATCGACTCAACATGTAGATTACTCTACATCAATCTATGGTACCTCTAGACATGGAGATCTCCAACGCATGCACCGCCGCTACCATGCACTTTGGCGTGATGCACGCCCAAAGTCTATCAAAGCGCTAGAGAGGACCCGGACTGGGTATTTCACCGCTCGCGTATTTGCATACTCTACCCGCCTGTTGTTCCGGAAACGACAAATGCATTCCACGTGATGATAACAAGTCATTTAGACGCAAGAAGTGTAGAGTAGTTTCATGTCAGTTGGAGATGACCCGTCTTTCATATGATGTGCTTCTTTAGCTCAACTGGCTGAGGGTTCTGCACAACAAATTGCCTGTCGCATCCGAATCGTGACTCTCAACAGCAGTTGTATACCAAATAGTGGACTCAAGATATTGCCCCCGCTTCCACCAGTTTGCGTCGTCCTCTTCCTCTTCCTCCAACAGTCCGGAATGCCCTCATTTCTTTGCCGGTGGAGTCGGTGCACATCTGCTGTGCTACGCTTGTTGCGGCCGCTTAAGAGAGGGATGGTGTGTTAATCACGACCCAATATTTAGATTAGGATTCGCAAGAGGAGTGCCTGCTCGCCCGAACGGCATAGCACAGAGGAATCCATGACATACTATGTAGGCAGGAGGGCATGACGTGCTCCCCCGGTGACTCGCTACAGCAGTGTTGTTGTTGTTGTTGTCTTCACATAAAAAAAACGTTCCGGTCTCCACTCAGTACCCTCTAATGTCCATACTGGTCCAACTGACGCGGACGCCTTCGGTGGTCACAAGCAGTGTACGGGAACAATTTTATTTGTTCTCCATTTCACGATGCTCAAACGTGATGGCGTCACTGCCGGTAAAACCAAACGTCCGTTCCGTCCATGCTCCGTACGAAGACCTACTAGTACTATTATGCTGCACTTCCATGGAAGCTGTTATGGGCTTCCATGGAAGCTTGTACAATACGAAAAAGTGTACGTTGCACCTACTACAGAGGTACAATTTTCGGCTTCTCATCTGTTGCCGCCGTCCTCCTTATCTCCAGCCCGACAATTGGGAAGAAGACACACGCTTCGACGGCCCAGAGCACTGGGGCATGGAAGAAAGGTGGAAGAGCCTATTCCCCAAGACTGGCTTCGAGACGAAGAGCAGCGGTGGTGTTGGTGCCGGGGACAAGCATGGCGGCAGGACTCGGGCAAAGGGGACAAGGAAGGCGACGGTGGACATGATCGCCGAGGGAGACGATGACACCGTTACATGTAGCCTGCAGAGCGGCGATGATACCGACCATTTCGCCAACTTCAAGCAGGCAAGTCGTGCAGCTCGAAGGACAGTCCCTGAGACGGCGCCAGAGGACCCCGAAGAGGAGATGCTGCTTCCTTCTTTCAGTAGACCGAAGGCGAAAACAACGGCAACTAGCAGCAGCAGCATCAACACAAGTAGTATCGGTAAGGCGCCCTTAGACGAAGACGAGGAGCCGACGACGGGGCAAAGGAGGTGGAGAATACAGCCGAGGAGCACGGAGCCAGCGTCGAGCTCCCGTGCTGGGAGAAGGGGTGAGTCGAGAGACACGGGAAAGGTACTTTACTACTGTAGTTCCCCCCTGTGGTATTCATCAAGGGTGTGTTGGGTAAGGTACATACCCGGGTACAATTTGGGTAGTTGTCGGGTATGTACCCGTACCCAACGTTTGGGTACGTTGGGTATGACTCTCGTACCCGTACCCAAATTCTGGGTACGTTGGGTACGACCTCTCGTACCCGTACCCAACGTACCCAAAATATGGGTATCACACCCGAACCCATACCCAAAATACCCATACCCACGCATCATCTACCCGGGTTACCCGGGTACATTGGGTACGACTCTCGTACCTGTACCCAAAATTTGGGTACGTTGGGTACAGGACCCGTACCCGTACCTATATTCTGGGTACGTCGGGTACAGTACCCGTACCCACACCCAACGTACCCGTACCCTACCCAACACACCCTTGGGGTGTATTGGGTAAGGTACATACCCGGGTACAATTTGGGTATTTGTCGGGTATGTACCTGTACCCGACGTTTGGTTACGTTGGGTATGACTCTCGTACCCGTACCCAAAGTACCCAAAATATGGGTACCACGCCCGAACCCATACCCAAAATACCCATACCCACGCATCATCTACCCGGGTTACCCGGGTACATTGGGTACGACTCTCGTACCTGTACCCAAAATTTGGGTACGTTGGGTACAGGACCCGTACCCGTACCTATATTCTGGGTACGTCGGGTACAGTACCCGTACCCACACCCAACGTACCCGTACCCTACCCACCACACCCTTGGTATTCATAGCTTGGTGCGGTGATGCTTGCCATGCTTGTCTTGTATGTCATGGTATGGTGTGGGAACAGTGGAGCGGGTCAAACGTACCGTCCCACGTGACACATGATTCCATGGTGGTACATTCGAGGGACCTTTATGTGTGTGTGTGTGTTTGCGTCCTATTTATTATGGCGACAGTCCCCCCATTTTTCGTGGTGAGACGCGAAGCGGTCCGCTATCTGATCATGAGTGACCTTGGCATCCATAAGCTTCAGCATCTCAAGCTTGGCGTCCATATCCGGCCGCGCACGAGGCCCCTTACGAGAAGGCTGAGACTTCTTACTCCCCCCATTCGTGACCTTCGGGCGTTTAGACTGTCCCCGTCCACCGGTGTCAGCTGCTGGAGCCTTGCGCTTGCCGTCCTTGGCGACGCACGCACTGCAGATGCGGTGCTGTTCGTTGTCGCCAAACATGCTACCGCAATTGCCGTGGAGCCGCCCGCCACATCCCCGAGCCTGGCTTGAAGGCTCTCACGGAGACTGTCAACAAGTTGAGCACGAGTGTGCACGAGGCGCAGCAGCAGGGATCCCGAATCGAAGACGAGGACATCGCCGAACTGTTGGCAGGACTCCGCATCGAACCCGGAAAGCGGATCGAGGAGGAACCGGTGAACGCGATTCAGGGGTGGGCTACTATCGAGGACGATGATGAAGTCGTTGAGGCTATCAGACTGGATATGGTGGACGACATGACGGCACAGCTGAATGGGGTGCACGTGTCTGCCGGCCGCGAGGAGGTAGACGAACAGGAGGAGGACAGGGGCGATGAGGACACGGGGCGTGTGCGCCGTGCCCCACCGGCGTATGGTGAACTGTCGTCTTACTTCGGCGTCCTGGAAGCGGCGCAGAGGAGAGTGGCAACGGAGAAGTGGCTCTCTATCTAGCGAAAGCGAAGATGGCGATGATAGTAACGCATTCCGCTACGCGGGTGCGCCAGGCGGACATGAGAGAATTTGTCGCGACGTAGCGAGGATGCGGGTACAGCTGTAGCAGTAGTTGTTTTCTTGCGGTGCGCTGCCTGTTTTTTTTTGTATTGTTTTTTGTTGCAACATCGAAGGGGGTGCGCCAGGCAGACACGAGAGAATTTGTCGCGACCCAGCAAGGGCGGGGGTTACAGCTGTAGTTGTGTGCTTTTTTTGTTTTTTCGTTTGGTGCGCTTATAAATTGTTTTGTTTCTTGATTTTCATTTTTCAACATCGAAGGAGGGCAACAAAGGGTGAAATTTAGCTTTGTACGAACGAGAGCTTTTCAAGTAGTTTGTGCCGGTCACAGCCTACTCGTGTGCATGATGTGTGTTTCCCTTTCGCCGTCGACTAGTCTTGGTGAGACACTGCTGTAGCCCGAAATGCAACGATCGTATTTTACAAAACTCTTGTGGGCTCGACAGGGTGAAACCGCACGTGTCGCGGGAAAGAAAGTCTGCCCAGGCCTACTCTAGAACTTCACATAACAGCAGTGTCGATCCATTTCGTACTACAGTACTGACTTGGCCCCCCAAGCGTGAGCGCCACACCATAAATCAAACACGTCTTCAATAGTGCCAGACAGGCACTAATGAGGGATTGGCTAGCCCTCAATAGTGCCGTCTTGGCATTATTCGCAATAGTGCCGGGTGCCCGGTTTAGTGCCGGTGAAATCTCTCAACACATACCGCCACTATAAAGGTCCCTCGACTGTACTTATCAGTAGCATGGGATTCTCTCAAACGGCTTACTTTTCGTACACCCGGGGGGAGGCAACTTTGGCGCCTAGGTTGGCGAAGGGGTGTCGATCAAGGCGAACTGATTCGTTTCGCGAACATTTCGGAACATTGATCGATGTTTTACCGCAGCCTCCTTCTTGTGGTAAGACACAGCTGTGCCCCACACACACACATCAGAGTAGACAACTGTGACACTGTCCCGACGAGCAGTGAACGGTAACGATTGGCCTTGGTACGGGTACTAGATGGCGTTGTGGATGGCGAGATTCCATGGTAGGTAATTCGCGGTACCACTCAGCCGATCGGAGTTGGTACAAGCAGTGGGATTGCGCGCTTTTTGCGGCTGATTGTGTGTGTGTGTGTGCTTTGATTATTAGCATCGACCGCGCTAACCGGCTGACCAATGAAAAGACCTCAGTCTTAGTGCGGTTGAAAACACAAAACACTTCTATCTACCATGAACTGGGACCCCGTGAGGGGGCAGCATGGGGGAGACTAAGCCATCCTTCGGATCAAAAACAGAAACAGCAGCAACAGAAGAAAACTACACCCGTCTACCAAGGCTATTACCTAGTACTCGAGTTCGTTTAGGAGTACTTTCACCAGTGTCCTCCTTGTTTTCGCTACCATCATTCTGATCCTCATTTCGACAAGAAGAATCTCTGGGCAGTTCTTCCCTAGCCCTACGTTTCTTGTTGTGGGGAAGGTCATCTGGCTCAAACCCTTTGCTCTCTTCCACTCCTCCATGTTTTCCTGCTCCATGGTCGTCTTCGTCCTCCTTTCTTCCCTTTCCCTTTCCTTCGTCTCGTCACTTCCAAAAGAATTACACTCACTTCTATCGTTGTCGCAGAGATCCCAACCGATTGGCCCTGGTGGAAGTTGGTCGATCAGTAGCCCATGACGTTTGAACACATCGCGAGTTCGCATCGACAGAAAACGAGCTAGCTCGAAGGTAAACCGTCTCCGAATCCTGTTAGTATGAAACGCTTTCAGGCGAACTAACGCTCTTTCGTCTTCAATTTCCCCCGGCAAAGCTTCGTGCACCAAGTGGTTGGCGATAGCAACGATGAGTCGATTGGTGCCTTTGCCAAGACCACCATTCGTTGAAAAAGCAGCAGTAAGGAGGGTAGATCTAGACGGGTTGAAAGTTCCCGCATAGTGATTTGCCTTACTTGCAGCTCGATCTTCGAGGGC